CTCTCTCGTCTCATGCTCTTTGTCAGTTTCGTACCTGGGAGCTACGTGGCGGAATTTCCTGCCGGCAACTGGAGCGAGGCAAAGCTTCAGAGTTCGAGTTTCAGAGCATCGACCCCTAGCATCCACTAGTACCTAGTAGCTGTAGCTCCTGGTTCCCCGGAACTCCGGAAGCCCAAGCCGATCGCCAGCTGTTCGTGGGCCGGCACCGCTTCCCGGTCCTGCAGACGGACATCCAAGTCTGCGGCTGAGACTCTCTAGCGAGGCACTGGAGACACCGAATTCTCCAGAGCCTGAAGCATGGGTGGAACACTTAGGACCTCAGGTTCTTGGTGTGTCTTGCAAAACGTGCCCCGAAACCATGTTCAGCCAAGCTCACACCGGCGACCCACCAAGCCCTGCAGAAAAGCCCTGATCCCCCAAAACCTTGCAGAAAATCGATCAGCCAGTCTCCTCTGTCACCACGCGTGCTCCAGGCGCTGCTGAGACGCTACACTCTTCCAGCGGCCCCTTGGGCCGATTTCCAGTCTTCATATAGAGGAAAAATTATCATCAGTATTATCATTATCATCATCATCATAATCATTATTATTTTTATTGTTATTGTTATTATTATTATTATTATCATAGTTATTTGTATTATTATTAAAAAACATATATAAATAAATAAATATATATAAATATAAATAAATAAATATATATATATATATATATATATATATATATATTTTTATATATATATATATATATATATATATATATATATATTTGTTTTCTGCTTTTGGGGTTTCGGGGTTTCGATTAGGGGCTTGTGCATGCATGGAACAAGCATGTAGAACAACCCTCACATGCGCCTACTGATCCAAACACATGTTTGGCAATTGTTGGGCTGAGCTGCAGGGCTCGGAAATGCAGCGATGTTTTGCATACTTGCAAAGCAAAATGATCAGCTGCACTTGGCTAGCAAGGACAATGTTGCTTCTCGAGCCTCCGTTTCGACCTCGAGATTGGTGGAGGGATGCTGTGCATCGGACAGTTTCATGCTTCATACCTTGAAGTTGTGTTCCGCGTGGTGCAAAGTTGTGTAGTCCAGCGGTGTGCAGGCAAACCCTTTTCTTCGTTTTTGTGTCACAGTTTCAGGCGATGGCGCGTGTCTTTGCGCTGTACCGGGCGCTAGAGCCTTGAGCTTAGAGAGCATTGAACAGACTTCTCACACAGAAAGCTGGCTTTCATAGATGCCATGCTGTCGAAAGATTAACAGCACGCAGTGTCCATAATTATGGTCCCTTTTTGGGTCCTGGATATATGTGGGCCCCGTTTTTATAACGGGGCGGAAAACTACCCTATTGTTTCTCGGCGCAACAACGATGTCCTTGACGATCAGCTGTCTAAGCCTCTGCAAGTGAATAACCCCAAAGGCACTCTTGGGTCCTAGATCATGAACACCGGGAGCTCAGGCATCTGGGAGTGCCGGCTTTGGGACCAAGTAGGCTTTATCCTTTGTGTCCAGTGTTTGTTTGATTAATGCACATGTCTCCAGTTGGTCGCTGAGGAATCCAGTGTTGGCTGCCGGCCAAAGGAGTTCGCACCAGCTTAGCTGGGTTCCTAACACATCCGCCACTGATGCTGACCAGTCTGATCTGAAGGCGGTAGATCAGGTGAACTTGGCTATGAGCTGCTCTTGCATGGTGTCGCCAGAGGCTCTTGGCGACCATCTTCGAAAGAAGCTGCCGACGTCGAGTGCCCAAGGATTTGAGGATGTTTCAGGGCATTTCTTTAGGAGCTTGGGGATTCTTGAATGCCACTTTTGTCATTTTGTTGAGTTTGACGTCTGAATCTTGAAATACATGTATATAACGAATCCTAAGCCCAAGTGGAAGAATGCAATTGTACACGCTTGCGCGCACCGCCGCGGCAGCCGGGGTGGCCCATGTCCCAAGGGGGCTAGGCCGGTGGCCAGGGCGGGGAGCTAGGGTGTGGGCTCAGGTGGGTGCGCTAGTGTGGGAGCCGTTTGAATGTCGGGTGCCTCCCATACTCCTACGGGACAATTCTGGTGAATTCAAGCAGGAGTGCATCTTGCAATCCTGAAGGGCTTCCTAGTTAAACCTCACGGAAAGCATGATCTGACTGTGTATTCTAATGAAACTAATGAGGACCGGAGTTTCATCACATGAACACAACAAAAGCCTACTTAGTTCGGCTCGTTTTGGGGGTCTTAATTTAGTTGTTTTAGCGGTAGGTCTGCATGAAAAAACTACAGATAGTAATTAGTAATTGGAATGCTACTTGGTAGGACTCATAATTTTGCTTGATGAAAATTCCAAGATCTCGCTGACATGAGACGGTAACATACAACATACTGATACAAAGATACATATGAACTCTTGCAGTTCTAACTAATATCACAGGCACTCGTAGTAAAAGCACGCTCAACACATGTAAGGAAACACAATCTAACACTGTCGGGTGCAGCTTCCTCTTTTTTAGCCAAAGTATCCGACATTCGCCACAACGGCCGGCCAGGTACGAGCTGTTCGCGTCACCCTTCAACGCAAGAGTCCAGAACGGCAAGCCCCGAACTGAGTCACAGGTCCGGGGCTGCGGAGTTTTCCTAAGGATCTCACGTAGCAGTCAAGGCCTCAGGCTTAGCTGTAGCAGGAGCAGTAGGAGGAAGCGCAGGAGCAGCAGGAGAAGCAACCGGTAGTAGCAGTCGGAGCTCTAGTAACAATAGTAGCTGTAGTCGCTGTAGCAGCTGTCGTAGCAGTATTGGCTTCAGTGGAAGTAGCAGGAGTGGAAGTGGAAGTGGCAGCACAGCAGCAGCAGTAGTATAGTCGTAGTCGTAGTGTCGTCGTCGTGGTCATCGTTGTTGTCGTCGTGGTTGTCGTCGTCGTCAGCCCCGTCGTTGTCCTCCGCTTCCTCCTGCTCGTTCCTCGATGACCATTGAGGTATGCATCGCGCTTCCCGCATGCCGAGAAGATCTTTGGCTCGGCCGGCTCGTGCGCCTTCCTTCCACTTGTTGACACGCACACAGTAGACCTAGACCGCAGGTCGGGTCTTGGCAAATTGCAACCGACCAGCATGATTGATGGCCATTCCCTGTGGCCCCGAAAATGGCACAGCGCCTGGATACCCACTGGAGCCATCTAGAGCCGAACCCTGCAGCGGTGCACCTTGCGAAGCCTGCGAGAGCGCCACAAGTGGTGCTGCTGGTCCATCACAGTCTAACGCTGTTAGGGCAGAAACGATGTGTCCCACACGTCACCTTTCCAGCACTGCGCAGGTATCCTGACGTGCTTGATGACTGGCCATCAACAGCTGTCGAGACCTCATAGTTTTGATCCAGGCGGTGAAATTGGAGAGGACATCTCTGTGGTGCACTTGCCAAATGATCGGCTTGTTCTTCTTGCACAGTGTTCTTGTGGATGCTTGCTGCTTTAGATGCGCCACAGCAAAAGCTTCGATGCGAAGGTTGTGTCGGTGAACCCGCCGTTCTCAGATGCGTGACCTTCCAGCTGAGACCTGCAGCTTGCAACCGTTGGCTCACTTGACCGTTGATAAGCTTTTGGAAGTGGAGTCTAGTGGAATGAGCTGACACGAGCCGGTCTCCACGAGAGGTACTTGGATGATGTTGTCGGCAAGCAGCTGGACCGAATTGTCACGGGGTTCAAGAAGGCACGCGATTTTCACTCTGCTGCTCGCAATATGCTCCGTCGCACCACTGTCACAGGTGCACCTTTTCGTGCCTGTTCGTGACGCGCCTCGTTCTCGGATTTGCATCGAGGGTTGCAAGGCAAATGCCCGGTATGTGCGCCGCCCAGCTTTCCGCAGGCCGTGGCGAAAACAGTTGCGGCGTCTCTCCAATGCACGGTTTGTTTGCTCCCCAGCAACACGGAAGAGTCTCAGCGACGCAACTGCGTGCAGTATGTGCAGTACACAGTTGCAGGGCCATATGGTTTTTGGGGCACTTAAGGTACAGGACTTCTTCGATGCCACAGCATTGAAGGAGAGCTTGGTCTTGTTTGTCAGTTCGTAGTCCATTCTGGGGATGTGAGAGAGAGAGCTGTGCAGCAGCAGCACCTTGTGCAGCCCCGCCTCTACACCCATCTAAACCCGGGCCAGAAGCCATGAAGCTCAGTGTGGACGAGGACCGGCATTTGGAGCAGCCGGTGCTCCACTGGCAGGCTGGGAGCCCTTGCTGTAGTGAAACATTCTCTCGCAACTGGTTGCATGGCTGAAAGTTTGCACTACCCTGGTCTTTTGTAGGGAAGCGAGCTGGCGCCAGCTGAACCCTAGCTGTGGACTGAACAGTGCCTGGTCGAGAGATGGTGCCGTATGTCAGAAGGTCTGGCATGGTGGATGCTCCTCAGCTTGGGCAAACAGATTCCATCAACAGCATGCTCGACCTAACTCAGTCCAAGATTCTGCCCTCCTCCCCCCCATGCAGACGACCTTTCGCGTACCTCTGTACAGCATCCCGAGCAACAATGCTGTTTCGTACATGCGCAGCGACAGTTACAGCAGCAAGTCAACAAGACTGTACACTGCAACGTGTGCGCAGTGCGTGAGATAGCCTGAGGTTTTCTGAAGGCAGCCGCGGCAAAACCTAGGTCTGGATCATGTCATCCTTCCGAATCGGGTGAAGCCCGTATGCTGTGGGACGTTGTGCTGGGTGCTGTCTTGCTTAGTGTCTTGCACTGTCTTGCGCTCTACAGTACGAGTCTCATGTGCACGCGGCTCAAGCTTTCCGATGATAGACCACAAGAAGTAAAGCAGGCTCGCTTGCCATGCCATACTGTCCTACTGCGTACACTCAAGATATCCTCCAGCGGACTCCAGCGCTGATGAGTCCATTAGTCAAGCCTCTAGGCTCCAGCACAGCAATTGAAGAGCGCTGGGGGCCCCTAGCTGCGATGGTCACAGAGGCGAGAAGCTGAGACCCCGACCTTTGTGTTCCTGTTGATTCCGGTTGCTTCCTTTTGAGTTTGTTGAGGATCCGCAGTGGGATGCCAGGTCTCGTGAGCCCCTCAGTCTTTGGCCTTCAGCACTCTATGGCTGCAGTTTTCAGGAGGCTGGATCACTCAATAGCGAAACAAAAGGGACGATAACAGCAACCCTCCTGCCTCCTGGCCCCCGGTAAGGGGTGCAGGCATCAACACGCCTGAGTCCACCCACGCAGTCTTCGTAAGCCGCTCTCGACACCCAGACTCCTCTCTACCAAACACAGGACCTCAATGAGGGGGCTCTTGGCCCCTAGCAGTCGTGCTTCATCCCTGGCCAAGGCGAGCTGGTTCAGAGGAGCCCGTCGAGATTCGGACTCGCAGCCGACGGCCGAAAAGGCCACGAAAGGAGCCGAAGACACAGCCCCAAGGAGGCCCGAGAAGATCTGCCCGAATGCGCAGCCGTAGGGGTTGCCATTTTAATAGTGTTGACTGGTTGGGGTCTGGGGTTGGGGAGGTTCCGCAAAGCGTTCGAAAGCTTTCATTATATTTTTTTGGTGTGGGGGAGGGGGGTGTTTTGAGTTCTGGGGGGTGGCCTTTGGCATGCTCAGGTCTCTCAGTGCCAGGCCACGGCAGCCGCGGCAGCCGCGGCAGGAATCGGCCCCGCCGCGGCAGGAATCGACCCCCAAGACTCCAAATGACAAGAAGGACCTGGCCGACGAGAGTGGTGGGCCTAGTCAAAGGTTTGTTGCTCTCAGGGGCGTCAGTATTTTGGCAAAGAACAGCAGCAACCTATTCTGCGTATGTCAAGCATTGTCAAACGTGTTCTACATCATGTTAACACTTCTGCAGGGACTGAAGAACAGCCGAGTGTTCTCCAAGGCTATGACCGAAATGCCGTCAAGCTGCCAGGGGACCTTGGAGTTCGTGCCAACTCATGTCAAGGGATCTCTGGGTGCATTTGGTTCACAAGAAGAGCAGCTGAGGCGCACGCCGGTCGAAGTCACCATGGCAAAATCTGGAGGCCTAGAAGGGCCTTGAGTACGTCGCGAAGTGGGCAGGTCTGTTGAGCTCATACACGAGTCGCCCGGCAGTGCGTGCAGCATGCGTGCGATGTATGATCTGGTCTCGTCTTCTTTTCTTCCTCCTATCCCCTTCTTCCAGCCTTCCTCCTCCCTGCCAACCTTCTCAAATCCCTGGGGACTGTGGCCTCGGGGGACCTTACCTCCCTGAAGCCAAAATAGCGCCCTAAACCCCTGAACTCCCTAAACCCTCAGTATGAAACTCTGAATGCCCGACAGGTAAGGGTGGCAAGCAAGGCAAGAGCCCTGCCCTTGGAATCGGAAGCCCCATGTCCGCTGCGGCTTCGGGTTTCGGGTTTAGGCCCCTTGTCCTGCTGGGAGTATAGAAACTTCAGGGTCATAGGGTCTAGGGTTTCATGGGGGTCTTCAGGGATCAACGCATCTACTTGGAGATTCTGGGTACCATCTTACAAGGGGCACGCGACCAAGCAGCTACACTTTTGTTCCTTGTTGCGTAAAGATATGGCTCCCTACCAATGACAGCTGCTCGATGTTCCTTTCCGTCCACAAGCTTAGGAATTGTGAACGATTTGCCTGAAAGGTGTGCTCTAGCTAGAATAAGGCCCCAACGTTAAATCAAACGGTCAGGTCTCTGGATGGGTGCTGATCAGTCGACGAAGGCGCTGCGTTTTGGAGAGCCCTCTGAGGGTTCGTTGGTGCACGGTGCTTGGGGGTCGAGGGTTTTGAGTTGCTATGAATTGCTTCACCAGCGATTCAGGCTACCAGCTTCTTCAGCGCGAAAGGACATGCTGTGCTTCAGTTTGGGCATCTTGTGGTAGCTTTTGTAGGCGCCATCTTGAGCACTTGTGGTAGATGAAGCGCACGGCGCGCCTACTGGGCAGGAGCCCGACCTGAAACAGGCAGGAGCCTAGTGTATGAGTGCAGCTGGCATGCAGGAAGCAGCCTACAAAACTTGCCCCAAGCGGTTCATAGGTCAGTACCGAAATCGCTCTGGCTCGGGATGCTGCAGGTTTAGGGCGTTGAGGGCAGCAAGACCAAGATGTAACCTCAATGCATGATCTTCACTGTGTAAAGCTGCTGCCGACTTCGGTCGTCAGCTCCTGCCAGGGAAAGGCGACCTGGAAGGCAAGGGCTCTCAGAAAGGCGGCCGGGAAGCTTCCGGGAGATCTTGGGACATCTTGGGACGAGGTGCCATGCTGTGCTAAGCTGGCTCTTGCAGGCCAGAATGGCGGTGAGCATGCTAGCCTTGGAAAGAACCGAACTGGTACCTCGCCCCAGTGACTTGCGGCATGCCTGATGTTCTAGCCCAGTGCTGAAGCAGAATTCGACACTCGGGACAAGGGGCGCTCAGGCCTGTAATGTAATCACTATAAGCTCGTTGGAGCGGCTAGGCACGAAGGCATCAGCGTATCCATCCTGGTTGTGGCCAGCAGATTCCGAATGATGCTGTCATAGATTGTCCATGACTGTCCCTGAGACCTGTGGACGGGCACCGAGCAGAGCCAGGGCCAGGCCGGTGAGAGTTTCGAGCGAATGGCGCGTGGTTCGGGCTTTGTCGATGAGTCGATTCGCTTGTGTGAAATCGTCGTTCAAAGTAGTTTGACAGGCCGATGTGCGTGATGCGCGCAGCGTCACAGGCCGGATGAGTCGTTTTTCTCCCAAGTGCTCGGAGAAGCGCCGTGGAAACACGTGAAAAGAGGCACGCTCGCTCCTCGGAGATCAAGGTGGTGCCTTGGCTCATAGTGGCAGCCAGTGCCAGCGTCGGTGGCAGCCTCCATGTGAGCCGATTCTTGGAAACGCCCAGGCGCTCTCTAGCAAGCGTTCGCCTAAACGAAGTAGTGCAGGGCAAAGCCAGGCCCCAAGTCAAGATCGTGATCTTGTGGTCGACGCCAAGAGAGTCTTCGTGTCAACAATGCTTCATCTGGCCACATGCAGCCTTCTAAAGCTTCTTCCAAGGTGACCTGCTTTGTGGAGGCCGAAGGGGTGTTTTTGTTGCCGCATGCCAGGCGGTGTCGGTTGTCTTGCCAGGACGGTGCAAAGGTTGACTTTGGCTGCTTGGTCGAGGCCCGCGCGGCTAAGTCCTTGCCAGAATGACCAACAGCATGTGCATTTTGTAGTGTGTGTGGCAGTGATGTAGTGCAGCTCTTTTTGCAATTAGGCCCTGCTGCCGAACTCCCACATTGACTGACCGGCATGCTTGGAACCTCTAGCGACAGTAACTTCGAGAGTCTACAAGAGTCGAGTTCGGTGAGACGAAGACTCTCAGATGCCTGCAAGTGCCAGGACTTCCCGGCCTTTCCTGGTGATTTGTTAATGTCCCTTGTGGTCGATGAGATCGATGCGAAGGCCGTCAGCTTCGGACAGGTCTGCTAAACTGTACAAAGGTGCATCAGAGCAGGGGCACGCCTCAAAGCAAGGAAGAGCGTGTCGTCGTGAAGTTCATGGATGATACCGGTTGGGAGGACGCTCACGATCCCACTAGCGCCTCATCTTGGTCCGAGCTTTGCTTCAAGGAGAACTACTGCTCCGATGGTTACTGTGAGACAGACGTCGAAGATGAGCGTCCAGGCAGGGTATTCTCCCGAATCCTGCAAGAGCACGCACGAGGTGTCAAGTGGTACAGCCCATAGCCATACAGTTTACTGAAGAAGATATTCTGGTGTGAAGCATGGAAGGCGAAAGAACCAACGGCTCCCCGCCGAAGGCCAGCATCTTGCTCCGAGTGCGTTTGGGTGTGCCGCTGCCAAGCCTGACCGACCTGTGGAGGTGACCCCCAGCATGCATTCTACCAGGCCTCACTTCTTAACAGCGTGCCCCGTCCGAGAGTCCATATATGACGCTGCTGGCAGGGAGGTTTTCCCTGAGCCGGATGAGGTGCCAAGGCTTGCAGAATTCTTTCCTCAGCTGGGCTGTTGTGGCCGTCAGGGTTCTCATTCCCACCGTCTTGTACCGTCTTTCGAGGCTCACGCGTTCTGAGATGCGAGGTGGGCCGGCACCTCAGACGTCGGCTGGAAACGCGGATCTTGGCGTCGTTTGCTGAATCAAGGCCGACTGCGCCACGGCCAAATCGATTCCGGCGGCAGCTTCAAAGCAGTGTGATCCCCAGTCTTGCCTAAAATTTGTCTAATATCGAAGTACTTTCGGGCAGATTACTGTCAAGGTGACCCTGACTCAGGCCAGCTGCGACTGTCTTGTTTCACTCGATGAGTTGTTGTGATGCAATGCGTGTGCCGCAACAGGATTTTGTGCGTGCAAGCACTCCCTCCACAAATGTGTGAGCTAACATTAAAGCTTCCCTTTCCTCCTCTGCTGGGCAGGTGGCGATCAGGACCGGATCAAGGGGACAGCGTTGTTGCACACGTGTTTACCATTACGGACCGCACCCACCTGCGGCCACGCATTCCGGACGCATTCGGTAGTCAGAGAAGAGCAGGCGATGTAGTGGGGTCACCCAGCGCAGCGTTTGCTCGTTGGATCCGATGGGCGCGCTGGCGCATGTTTCAAGCCAGTGTTGCGTAGACACAGTGACACGAGCTCGCACCGCAGCAAGTTTCAGCAAAGCCGCGTGAAATACTGGTTCACTTACAGCACGCATTCTCCGTTCGCCTGGAATTGTTCGTATTGTTTCGAGTTCGGCCGGGGTGTGATGGTGCAAGTCAAAAGTCGGAAGTCGCATTGCGTTGAGTTGTATTGCTTTGCATTGCACTATCGTATTACTTAAATTCATTAGATCGTTTCAATGCATTGGATTGAACTGGTCTGTAGAGTATTGGCCTATTTGTATTGTATCGTGTTGTGTTGTAGCAGTAGTTGTACCTGCAGCTGCAGTTGGGCACCCACGAGATACACTCCGAGGGAGATGGAGAGTAAGCCGCAAGGGTGGTTAGGGCCAAGTCAAGCTCGAGGATGAGCTCGTGGCGGAGCTGCTGCCTGACATTCTGAAGGCCATCTATCGAACTTCTGCAGCCAGCAAGACAGCTCGCAATCCCAAGTATTACAACTGCCACGCGGGGCCGCCTCGCCAGGGACAACCCACAGATCTTAGAGTTCCAGTGTCCTCTCTCTTCAGGGGCGTTGGGGAGTGCCCAAGCTGTCGTGGTGCCTTAGGAATTATTTTCGAAAGTGTTTCCGACAAAATTGGCACATATGGTTCAGCAGGCCACCATAGAAATCGAAAATGCCTCTCAGCCAGCTGGCGGAAATTCTTCCCGACCAATTGCTGATTTCCATAGCCTGCAGCCAGCTGTGCTTCTCTCCTGCCAAGGAAATCCCTGCGCACAAATGTCCTGAAAGAAGCAGCATTTTTTCACATCAGTGAAGTTCTGATTCTGAACAAGCCTGTAAGATACAGCGATGAATCACCCAAGCCCGCAAGCAGCTGTTTTCCATTGGAGGGTCAAGAGTCTAAAGAGTCTAGACGCCTCGCGGCCAGCCAACCTCGGGCAGATCGTTTACCCACCCACGTGTGACATCTTGTCAATGCAAATTCTCCAATGGCATTTTGTCATCAATGCTGCGCTATTGGTAGGTTCAAGAGAATGTTCGCAGTGCCCTGTCTGCATGGAGTTGCATGGCCGTGTTTCCTGGTTGTTTCCGGGGTGCACTCGCACTTCGAGTGGGATGTTAAGGTGAGACTTCTCGTTCCAGCGCAGAGGAGGAGGAGGAGCAAACGCGATTGACAGCCGCCATTTGATCCTGAATTGAGTCGCTTCAACAGTCAAGGAGTCTCGCCCTGCAGAGCTGGCAGAGGCCGAGGCCCCTCAAGGACTGGACAAGCACGTGGATGAACATCTGCTGTGAGAAGATCTGCCCGACCCTTCAGGACCTCCGCCAGAATGTGAGGACGTCTTGAAGGAGGACTCGAGCCGTACAGCGCTTCACAGTGCCTTGGAAGAGCTTTCGGCTTTCGTTGCTGCTCACTCCAAGCTCTGGCATCTTGCTTGGCAACGCCCGAGGCCCTCCGATCAAGAACCTCTTGTGCTCTCTGCATGTTTTGGGTGCTGGCCCTGTCGACCCTCCTGTTGTCACTGCCATTCTTCCAGTGCATTAGGCCAGTATTCCGAGTGGGTTTCCAAGGAGCGCAGTTTCAGCTGGGCGTACAGCGTACAGATTGAAGCCGATTGAAGCTAAGCACTCCCCGTCTCATCTATGACACAAAATCGGGATTGAGTGCAGCTTTCATCGATACCTAACGGGCTTGGGCACTTGTGTGCGTGTGCATGCTGTCGAAAGGCACAATGTGCATGTCGGAGACCGGGGGAAATCTTTTCGGAGCTGCAACCTGAGGGGTGCTCTGCCTCTAAGGGCTGGAAAGATAAGGTGATTACACCTGTAGATTCTACTGTAGATGCTACTTGCACCGTCTATTTGTAAGTATGCTATATGCTGTACCATGTGTCTTAGAGGCTTAGAGTCTCGTTTTCTCACAGCTCCAGGAATGACGAATGTCTGCACTCTCAAGGGCAGATGTGTCAGCAGGCGTTCCTCTCTCGACATTCCTTCTGGGACTGCCGCGCTGTCGGATACATCTCGTTGGTCAGCGTAACGCATCTCACGATTTCTGCATAATCAAGTCGTCAGTTTGGGGCGTTCCTCACAACACAGTGCCGTATCGGCGCTCATCAAGAGTTGCGAGTACTTGCCTATGCAGCCCAATGTTGTTGCCCGATCTTTGCCTCGCTGTGTCGGGTGCCAGGCGGCAGCTGGCTTCTGGCCAACCCGGAGCTGCCGCTGCCTCACTGCCGCAGCTTCCGGGTCTCTTCTGAGACAGGTGGATCACAGAAACGAACCTCTCGTGAAGCTGAGCTGTGGCGTCTCACCTGAGAACAAAAGCACGTCATGGCGTGCAGCAGCTAGCCCGAGGCTGAAGAGTGTGGAAAGGTGGTCGCCGCTGCGGACCGGCCAGTGCAGGTGCCAAGTCGCTTGCAGGGCCATGAGGGCATGAAGCATGGCGAGGCATAGTGAATAGTGAGTAGTGACTATCCTGTAGTTCCCCCAACAAAGCCTTTGCAATGCCTGAAGTCTCTTGCCTGTTTTTCTTGGGCATGCAGTGCAGGCCTGTGCAGCTGTAAGTGCTGCACTGCGGGTGTGTGACTCAGCTTGTGCAAAGTAGGATGCTGCAGTGTAGGCAGTGGGCGAAGGAATGCCGTCCCCCAGCAAGAGAGCATGGGGTCTGGACTTGCCGAGCTTTAGTTTAGCAGTAGCTCACTGCAGCAGAAAGAACCGACAGCGACACTAGCATCGCCACCACCACCACCACCACCACCACCACCACCGCCACCACCGCCATCACCACCGCCAGCGGAGTGCGCTGTTGCACCCGCCGGCCGTGACTCAGTGCTCACCCTGTCCTCGTTGCCGAAGTCGTTTAGGACAATCCACATTGGATATAATGCCAAAAACCGTAAATGGTCTTCGCAGATGTTTGCAGCTCCTGCCTGATCCAAGTGGGCCGCAAAGCAAGGGAAGGCGATGAGGGGATGAGGAGCAGACCCTTCGGACGATGAAACGTTTATCTTCTGCTTGTGGACGTGTCGTGTGCATTCATGCGTCCGCGACGCCCGCTGCGTGCACGCTCGCTCACTGCAGGTCTTGCTGCGGGAGCCATCCACTGCTCTTGCCGCCTTGAAAGGCCTCCTGAGTCTCGACTTCATGAAACTTCGGCTGGTGCCGGACCATCCTGTCCTCCAATCGAGTCCTTGGCTTGGAGGCATGGTAAGCCTGCATGAAGAGGTCGGGCGGGCTGCGGCCCCAGACTGGCCAAGACTTTATTTGCAGTTTGTTGCAGTTTGTTGCAGCGGGAGCAGCGTGCAGTGAGAAGTGCAGCGAGGCCTCGGAGCCCTTCATGGTCTGCGTCCCAATGCGTCCCACTTCTACCACGCTGCAGCGATACACTCTCTAGCATGCCGTGTCCCCCCGTGTCACCACATCTTGCACTGAGGTCCGGAACCTCCCGGTCCTCTTAGACAAGTTTGGGAGCCGGCAACGAGACGTTCAGGCTGCAGATCCATCGGTTCATCGACCTTGCATAGAGCGGGGCTCAGTGGCTCAGTGGCTCAGGTTGCTGCCGAAGATGCGGCAGAGACCCTCATCGCGAGACTGAACCCTTATGGCAATGGACCAAGTCCCGGAATCCAATGGTGCTTCGCTTTGCAGTACGGGAACCTGGCGTCATCCGTTCAGGCCCAACAGACAGACCCGACCCATTTGTTGGCCCGGTTGTTTCAAGACCCCGGTTCAATGCTTGATTGCTGCAGCTTCTTTGCAATGCTCACTTCACTGTACATAGATTCACTTAGCAAATGTCGTCCGATGCCGCCTCGCCGTTGCGTGTGGCAAAGCGACCCGAGTCTGGCCGACACGGGCCAGTAGACATTCCGGTCCCAGCGGCGAGGCGGCCAGACTCCTCTCGCAGAGGGAAACGTGGGTCTCCAAGCAGACGGAAGGACTTTTGATCTCTTGTGGCAAGGTTGAAAGGTTGTTGAGCACTGAGGGCTTGTTCTGTGTTGCCTCAATCAGCATCACATTGCTGAAGCGGCGGTACAGGTGTTGCGAGGGCCCTGTGTATCAGGACCCTGTCAGCATCGTACATGGCAGCAATGAGCCAGCACCAATTGCTGGCTCTGTTCTGTCGGGGCCTGGGCAGTTCCGGAACTATGCTGCTGATGCGCGGTACACGGAGAGTGATCCCCTCCGGCAAGCGGATCCTAAGCATGTCAACTCAATACCCTACGCTCTCGGGCCGGCGTCCAACACCTCGAGCTTCCGGACGCTGGACATTGCGAAGGCCAATGAGCAGCGACATAACTGGACCAAGATCGACACTTTCCTGACGCCAGCTGGCCATTCAGACTTCGATTCTTTCGGGCGCTCCCCTCGCAGGGGAGCCAGCCCCTCCCGGCATGAGGTTGGATTCGTTAAAACTTGAAGGAGCAGGCAAAGGCAAGTGAGCTGACCCTCTGACCCTGTGCTAGGCAAGTGCAAGAAGCATCGCCGCCGAAGAGATGTGGATAGATCTATCCGCGAAGCTCGATCAGCTGCGGGTCCAGATCAACCAGGACACTCAAAGTTTGTTGGAGCCTCTGTGCCTGGGCCGAAGCATTCGAGGCAAAAGCTAGAGGCTAACCGGTGTCACAGCCATATCCTAGTCATGGCAGTGGACGGCTTGCAAGGCAGAAAGAGCTGGATTCTGAGATCTCAAAGACAAAAGAGATGGTTCAGACAGTCCGGAATGACAACCTCAAGGCGTTTGAGGAGATCCGAAGGCTCCGATCTATGGAGCAGCACAAGCACATGCTCCAAGCGTACCCAGCGCCCATCGGAAAAGACGTGCTGGAGGTGGAGCCTTGGCTTATAGGCGCCTTGAGAATGGGCGTATATGTGAGCTGAAGTTCGACTTCCAGCAAAGAGTGGTTGGTCATGTCTTGTCATGTGCTGTAAAGTGTTGTAAATGTTGTATTTCTGTTTGGTCACAAAATTTCATAAGTTACAACTCTCCAAGGAGTTCAAGAACACCAACGACTCCATTCAGGCGCATACCCAAAGTTCAGCTTCACGAAACCTTAGCGCCGCCTTGCCATGCAAGTTCTCTGCCATGTGCTTCTACGCATCTCAGCGCCAGGCACTCTCGGATGCGGTCATGCAGATCAGCGAGGACATCAAGGTCCGCTTGAGCATCGTTCGTTGTTGATCTGCAGCCATTCTGCCCCCAGCACTTCTTGTTCTTTCTTGTTCTTGATTCGAACGAGGCCTCAAGTCCACCAAGCCGGTCGCCGAGCGGTCGTCGCATGCAGCTGAGCTCTGTGCCCCGGCTTGCTTTTCCGGTTTTTGTTAAGACCAGTCAGATCCCCGGCCCTGTGCGCTAAATCAGAGCCCTGCGTGCCTGTGCGCCTTGCGGCGCCAGAGTATGAGATGGTCTACCTATACCGAGTTCCAGTAGGCTGGCAATAAGAAGGAAGAAGGAAGCCCCTCATTCTAACAGGCGAAGACCGGCTTGAATCGATCCGACCTGGACGACATGTACCAGACCTTCCGTGACATTCTTTCTGAGATCGACTTCTCGGACCTCTTGGAGGGCATGAAGGAGCTGAATACAGCTTTGACAGGGCTTGCGCGGGACTTAGCCAAATGGTCCACATGCAGATCTACACGCCGCGTGACTGGAGGAGTTGCTGCCGGTGGCCTCCTTCCGGCAAGCCTTCGCTCGCATGGAGGCCCACTTTGGCAGCGCCACACACACACACACACAAGCTGCAGTGCATATTTGATGCAGGCGTGTCTCTCCGACATGGGGGAAGAGATGCGCGACTTGGCTGGCGGCTGCGTGTCCTTGGAATGGCTTTGGAAGCTTTTCTGCCTTAAGGAAAGATAAGCGAACAAGTCCAAGACCGGCGTGCAGATGTAGACTTCACTCCGGTCCTGGAAGCTGTGCACGCGGCTGCTTGGATGTCTTGGTCTCTCTTATCGAGTAGTTATCTGGCACGCGGCACACACATACATCCAGAGGCGAGCAGCGACGTGCGTGGTCCCACCGAGAGAATCTTGAGCTCCCTCGATGAGTTGAAGGCCTGGTCGAATTTCACTGTGCATATCTGTGCATCATGAGATGTCGCATGTACAGAAGAGGGCCCTTGTTTTATGCGAGCTGCTGTTTGCTTTTCGCAGCCCTCAGGGGCAGATACAACAAGAGTTGGAGACAATGCCTGGGGTCGTATGGGCTCAGCAACTGCCGCTGCACTTTTTCGCATGCAAGGGTCCATGGCTAGGTGTATGTAAGCTGTTCTGTGTCTGAGGCAGCCTCCCATCGACTTCAGCCCGGTCCTGGAGTGCATCCTTGAGAACAAAGTCACCGTGGACTTCTCCCCAGTGCTGGCAGCACTGAACGAAGCCCGGCAATGGCAGCAGCATTCACAGCATTCAGTTTCATCGCCTCACACCCCCACTGGCAGCCCTTGTCTCCTGGGGAAGCCGAGGAGATAACTCTGCAGGAGGACATGTCCAAGCAGTTCCAGGCCATCTTAGAAGAGATCGATCGAAAGCAGGGGAACATCGACTTCTCGGAAGTGCTGGAAGCGATCCGCACGACGAGTCTTGGAGTTGCCGGTTTGAGAAACCTGTGTTAACCTGACATGCAAGCTTGCATGTGGTGCCGGTTGTTTTGACCAGGCATGACCTGGCTGAATCTGGCTGTCAGTCGAGGACCCTGAAAGTGGATTTCGCCCCTGTCCTGTCACGCATAGATGATGCGGCGGAGACAACTTGTGAGACGGTTGCTGAAGGGCTGCCGCTTGGAGAGCACACCGTCTCGTAGCACGCTCTGCCCGGCCATGCAGAACGCGCAACGCATTCGCGCGTCTGCTGACTTGAGGAAAGAATCCTTAAAGCCCTTGGCAGAGTCCAGCGCAAGCATGCTGGAATCGCTGCAGGCGCGGCCCCCCCGATGCCCCCCCTCTGCCCGAGAGTGACTAGGGCAAAGTTGGACACAAGGTTGGCTTGAAATTGGCTTGTCAAGGAGCAAGCACAGGACCAGTCTGTCAAGACGAGTCTGGCTGGCCTGAAGGACATGCACCTTGGTCAGCAAAAGAGGTACAAGTGCCGAGATGTGCCGAGGTGTGCCGAGGTGTGCTGAGTGTGGTGCCCGCAGGGCACTGTTGCCTCCTGCACTTCCTTGGGCACCAAAATGTGTCTGCAGGTCTTCCAGGCTTTCCCAGCAGTTTTCCATCCTTGTGCAGACTGTCACAGAAGAGAAGGAGGCCAAGGCCAGCTCTATTTGAAATGAAGGTCAAAGCCGAGTCAAAGCAGATGATTCTGCTTCAACAGCAAGGAGACCGAAGCAACGTGTCCTGAGTGAGGTTTTCTGTGGTCTCATTCTTGAGCATTGGCGCAGGTGGACTTCTCTCCCGTGTTGGAGGCCATTGCGGAGAACAAGGCGTGGTGGGAACGAGCTGAGCACTGAACATCAACCACTCGCGGGTCGAGAAGACAAGTACCCCTAGTGCAACAATTATCTACCGGATAACAAATCATGACCCCGCGAAAGTACCGACTTGCGCAAGCTGCCTGCTGCAACAACGGTGTATGTCAGTGGGGCTTGTCCGTGGGTCGGAGATCCTGAAAACCCTATATTACCTGCGTTGAGAGATTCATTGAGTCAGAGGTGCATGTCGATTTCAGCGAAGTCCTAGCTGCCATCAAGAAGTACAGCGATCACACCGACCTCAGTGAAGACATGACCCGCCTCATCAAAAACGTCCAGGAGATGTCACTTGGCTAAGAATTGTCTCGCAGACACTCCCGGATTGCTGCATTGGATAGCACAGCGAGCCGAGGAAAGTGCAAGTGGACTTCACTCCAGTACTGCGAGGCCTTCGAGATGTGAAAGTCGCGGCCACCTCAGCGGCCTCAGCGCTGCGGAGAGCTGAGCCCGAGAGCTGGGCGTCGGGGGCCGTCGGGGGCCGTGCGACGCCTCAGGACACGGTCTTCGAAGTGCTGAATGCCATCCGCGACCAGCGTACAGACGTGGGAGAGATGAAAGACACCCTGGCCGCAGCCCTACGGTCGGGTAACCATGGTAACCGCTCCACTGCAATGGCTCGGCATGAAACCACAGCAGACCGCATCAGACCGCAGCAGACCCAGAACGTCCCAAATGCCTTTTACGTGCAGGTCCGGCAATTGGAGGAGGTGGCCCTCAGTCAGAGGAATTTGCAGGAAGCACTGCATTCCGAGTCCAAAGAGGCGCACGAGAACACAGTGGCGTGCTGTGTGGACTCTGGATTCAGCATGTCGCAAACATCGCCTCCAAATCGTCCACCCCCCCCCTCCGCGCAAGTGGATCTCTCCCGGGAGGCTCTTACCTCCAAAGTGCTGGAGGCTGTGCAGTCTGTCAACATCAACATCAATCTCTCGGAGGTTTTGGAGGGCTTCGCATCGCAGAAGCTCCATCTGGACTGCACCGCACGGCAGTTTTTTGGGTACATAATCTTGACGCCATGCGACCCGCCTTGGCCTGGACACCCTATCACCCCTGAGCCCGATAAGTTACATTAGTTCACGGGAGCAGGTACAAAGCATGAAACTTTTGAAAACACATTATGCAGACGGGCCGCAAGG